GTAAATCATAAGGTTTAGAGTGGTATGTAAGATGGAGTATGAGCCTGAGGAAGTAAATAAAATAATGTCATGTCAAGGTCATAAGAACTTTGAAAGTCAGGGAGTTGTAGACTAGGAAACTGATTCATAAATCCTGAGATAAAACAGAATTGCCTGAACTCTAAATCAGGTGGGCACCAAAACAAACTAAAAGATGAACCTAATTTAGATATGCAATTACAAACTGGTCATATTTAAGGGGCAAGAGATTTTAGCAATAATTGTAATGAAGGAAAAACATCACCAGATTTTATCCTGGTTGAAAATAATTGAAAAATCGTATAAACAGTTGATTAGGGACAACATTAACAAGGATTGGAAGGAAAACATGGAACAGAAGACTAACAGAAATAACATAGGCTTATCAAGTTATATCAATCAATAAAAGACCAAAAGAATGTTCCTTTGGATAATAAGAAAAGGGGATTGAGCCCCACACACATAAAATGAACTTCACATTTCACAATATTACCTAGATATTTTGGGCATCTCTCCAGCCAGAGAGGCATTATCACACTCTATAGTATGATATCACAATTAATTTAAGTGGAGTTATAGAAATACCATGAGGGTAGATCAAAAAGTTTACGGAAAATGTCATTAAAGGATAAGTTTATTTTGGTGCAAAACAAAATGAAATCCATGCAGAGGTATTTTTTCATCTTCTTGACTACCTCAGTCCCTTTTTTCTGAACTATAATAACAGCAAGATTATTCTGCCATCTCAAGAGTGGGGCTCCCTTTCAAATTTGAAATAATGACTGTTGTTCTCTCTCTGTCTGTCTCCCCACATTTAGTATTTCTGCGCTTTAGCTGGGGCCCCATAGCCTTGGACTACCCAGTTGCTGACTCAGGAAAGGGAAACAATGCAAAGCCTAAGTTCTCCCAGGAGCAGGAAGCCTGCAGATTAGGAAGGTCTTTGTTATCTTTGCCATGTGTAATTTGACTAAGTCTACTTCAATGAGAAAGATCTGACAGCCTCTGAGCACCTTTGTACTCTTAAATGAACAATAATCCTAGTGAAAAATGGGGAAAAAAAAGAAAAGGAATGGGAAAAAAATAAGGCTGCATATTTTTTGTTTCCTCAGCTGAAAATGTCTAAGGTTTCACTAATGGAACTTGGATTCTTTCTCATTAACTATGGTTGTGACTGTGCAGAAATACCATGTTATTAATAGTAACTTGAAAGAAAGTGTGCCTAGGTGTTTTATTATTTTTTAATTACTCAATGTGGCTTTTAGATTGTTTATTTATATATAATTTATTTTTAAAATTTTTATTATTTATTTTCATTTTACTTGAAAGTGTGCTTGCATGCCCACACGAGAGAGAGAGAGAGACAGAGACAGAGAGAGAGACAGAGTGATCTTCAACCTACTGGTTCACTCCCCAAATGCCTGTAACAGCCAGTGCTGGCCTAAACCAAAGCCAGTAGCCCAGAATTCAATCCAGGTGTCTAGTGCAGATGGCAGGAATTCATGTACATGTGTCTTTATCTGCTGCCTTCCAGAATGCACATTAGGACACTGGATTGGAAGTGGAGGAGCAGAAATTTGAACCAGGCACTCTGTTATGGGATGCGGACATCCCAAATGGTGATTTACTTGCTGCACCAAATACATAACCCTTAAATTATTTATTTCTGTCCATATTGTTTCAGGCAACCAATAGGGTGGCTTGTGTAAATGCATTTCAATATATAAGATAAAAATCAACTAGTAAGAAGCAAGAAGTTAGAACAGTAGGGTAAATTAAAAGTGATTAGAGTAGTTGAGATGGGACCAGGAGTCATTTTGGTACCAGAAATTTGTGTTCTGAGTCCTCATAGTTCTGCTAGAGGCATGAAATGTGAAAGAAGAAACCAGACACATGATTTACAACATCCATGTGATAAAAATCAAACCTGATGCTCGGGAGAGCCAGAGCAAACAATCTCCCCTGGGTTCTCATAAGCAGGAATAAAATGACAACTTCCTCAAAAGCATTCCTACAATAAATATGTGAATGGGCTTCAGAGGACACTTTTGTACACTTCCCTTGGTGCCACCATGAAAGCATTAATGCAGGAAGAACAACTCATTCAGCAGGGGAATCCACACACACCTGTGATGGTCTAGCTTACTCTAGGGAAGATTAGCATGTGCAAGGAATGGATGTATATACTGCACATCAATTATTCAATCAATCCTCCATATGTATTTGTTTTTCTAGCCAGGTTTGGGAGAAACACTGAGACAAGAGGCTGGAGAGAAACATCTCTGTGCTACCAGCTTTTCCAAGCCCAAAACAAGACTTTTTCTTGCGGCTGATGAAGAGCTCCAAATCTTTAGGCAGCTTCCCTTTATACATGCAAGAGCCTACAAGAGTACTTCAAAAAGCTCATGGAAAAGGGAATTAAAAGATAGATTTAAGGGTGGACATTTAGTGCAGTTATTAAGTTGCTGCTTGAGACACCCATTTCCCTTATCAGAGTACCTGGGATCAACTTCCGGATCTGCTCCTGATTCCAGCTTCCTATTAATACACACCCAGGAAGGCAGCAGGTCATGGCTCAAGTTCTTGAATTCCTGCCACCCATGTAGGAGGCCCAGATGGAGTTCCAAGCTCCTGGCTTTGTCCTGGCCCAGCCCTGGCTGTTACAGGCATTTGGAGGAGTGAACCAACAGATGAGATGAAAAATCTCCATCTGTCTGTCTCTGTCTCTTTACCTTTCAAATAAGATGAAAAAAGATTTTTTTTGAAAAGTTAAGTTTATTTGGGCATATAAATATTTTAAAACCTGAGACTGAAAAAGGTAGATTTGCTGCCTGATGTATGGAAAGAGCAATCTGTGACACAGATCTTTTGAGAAGATCATTTGCACATTTGCACAGCTCAAATCTTTCCTCTTCACAACCTGTTATGGATAATGATATTAAGGGATATCAAAATATCCCATCTCAAATATATTTTTTGGCATATTTCAAGTTGGTTATTCAGAGAATTTGCAGACCTCTGCAGACACAGCAAAGGCTCTGAAAAACTGTCCTTTTCTATAAAGAAATTTATATCTGTCTGCATTAGTAAAAAGTAGAAGCAGGCAAAGACTTTTCCATCTGAGATCTCCCTATCTACCTAGGAGGGATATTTGTAGGGGAAGAAGAAATTGGGAGTCTAACACTTGACCCTTTGTTCAGATGCATTTACTCCCCTTACCCTTCGCTGACATACATTGCCAACTCCACTCAGCATCCTCAAGGACGTGTTTCTTTAGGCCACTCATAATTCCGTTTAAGCTTGAGTGTCCCTTTTTGGAGTCATATGCCTTACCTATGGCTCCCATATTTCTAGAGACTGTTAAGTTTTTATACTTTTGTCCTGTTAGTCTGTCTACTGTTCATTCTATAGACCCAAATTATCAAATCTTCAGAGAGAAAAGAGAAAATTTTAAACAAAAGTGTACAATATTTACATTTTTAGGACTGCCAAAGAGGAAAATCTATATCAAACTTATTTCCTGGATAAGCTGTGGTTTTTACAATAATTTTCAACATATCAGTTTCTGGCTCCCTACATTTGCTCTCCTCCACTACCTACTTCCACACTCCTGGTTCCTGGCCCCACCCAACATGGTCATATTTGTATATGACCCTGTACTTTTATGTTAAGATGTGAGGTAAGTCAGATTACTCTAGCTGGATAGCTAACAACAGCTTAACTGTACAAGAAAATGTCTGCAAAGATCCAGAGATACGTCCCACTAAACTTAGCCTAAATATATCCAGTAGTTGGTTGAATAATAGCCACCCAACAATATTATCTTAATCCCTGGAACAGCTAAATGTTCTTGTGAGAAGAAACTTCCCCTAAAAAACCCTGAAAGTATTCAAGAGAAATCCCTATGGAGACCTATCTGAGAAGTGTCCAGACAGAGCTGGTCATCTTATCTACCAGGTCAATTTGACCTGGGTGATGTACACATAGGATGTTTTGACTTAGCCATCTGCAACACAATCTTCTGTTCTTTACACATTTCTGATCTCTTCCCAGAAATGTTTTTCCTAAAATTAATCAGTAGCCTTCTTTTCAGCATGCCCTGTTTCTAAAAGTTGATTGTAACTAATCATGTTCTAAAAACATTCATCTCTAACCAGTGAGAAATTCACCCCCACTAACCTAAAGTCCACATTTTCAAGCCAATTGTTCTTGTGTAATGATGTTAAAATTTACTGTGGTGTAAAACATAAATTCTAAGTAGATTTTAAAAATTTATTTGAAAGGCAGATTCACAGAGTGAGAGGGAAGAGACAGATCTTCTATCTGCTGGTTCACTCCCCAAACGGCCCACAACTCCCAGTGCTGGGCCAGGCTGAAGCCAGGAGCCAGGAGTTTCTTTTAGTTCTCCCATGTATGTAGCAGGGGTCCAAGCACCTGGGCCATCTTCCGCTGCTTTCCCAGGCACATTAACAGGGAACTGGATTGCAAGTGGAGCAGCTAGAACTCATACCAGAGCCCACATGAGATGATGACATTGCAGGCAGCAGCTTAACCCACTACCCTACAACACCAGCCCCCTCTAAATAGAATTTTGACCACTTTGGAGGACATCTCAAGACTCATTAAGTCATCAGGCCTCGGTCACTCAAATTCTGCCCTGAAGAAACCTTATATCAACCTTTTTATAGAGCCTGCTTATTCCCATTTACCATGAATAAACAAAAAACAGTATTGGAGATATAATTAAGGTTCTTAACATTAAAAAAAATCCTCAATTACCCAGATGAACCCTAAATTCCATCATAAGTATTCTTGGAAATGATAGAGGGAGATTATACACAGAGAGAAAGCAATATGAAGACAGTGGTGGAAATTGAAATGATGCAGTCATACGTCAAAGAACACCAAAGAATGCCAACAGCCACCAGAAGCTAGAAGAAGCAAGGAATGACTTCGCTACTAGAGCCTCTGAAGATAGACTTGCTGACAGCATGATTTTAGACTTCTGGCCTCCAGAACTGTGTAGAAACACATTCCTGTTAGTTAGCATGTTTTCCTATGCCTTGATATTAGGTCAAGGATGCCAACTATGGGCTAAAGATCATAACTGGGGGTTAATAATTAAACATTATTTACTTCCCAATAATGGCCTTTTGGAAAAATCCAGTGTACAAGAACTGAACACCAAAGGTGGAAGGAGCTTGAGAGTCCAGAGAAAGAAGGTAAATTCAAGAATATATAGAAAATAATTTATTGGGGAGACTTATGGAAAGAAATTAGGTCTCAGGCAGCTGTGAGATAGTGGATTCCTATTCTATGAAAAGGAGAAAAGGGGTTTTATAGACAAAAGTGGCCTATAGCTAGTCAGAATATACCTGGGCTTTCTCAAGAAATATTAACATTCATAAGAGACATTCTAGGGGTCAGATAAGAGACATTCTATGCAGGAGGCATTCTAGGCATCAGACAAGAATACCAAATGAGAGCAACAAGTTATCTTAATGATTTTGTTTACTCTATCATAGGGCTTGGAATGACCTTCAGGGTCACCTAGAGTGTAAAATGGCTTTTATTTTCCATCAAAATGACTACAGATCTGTCAAGCTAAATCTCTACAAGGGCACTCTCAGTAGACTCGCTGGAGACCAACATCTTCCATTTTTACAATTTAAAAATAAGAGTGATGCTGTTAGTCTGACTCTATATATTGTATATATGGGGGTACTTTTAAGTTTTAGTCTATAAATCTCTGGATCAAGAGCAATTCCATCCAAATTGCACGCCATGATCATTGCACATTACTCCTAGATATAGAGAGTACCATATAACCTTAAAGATATTGACCCTCATGCCAAGACAGAATGGGACATTTGTGTTGTCTCCTTTGACATTTGTTCTTCTAAGAAAAGAAAGTAAACTGAACAATTAGTGGCCAGAAAGGCAGAAAAGGCACACTATTAAAGGCAATAGGATTAACTGTTCACAATATTCTGGTCACTCTCCTTCAAGACAAATGGTGGGATTGCATTTCTAACCATGTGAAGTTAAGTGTCCATTTGACTTCCTTTGGTCAGTGAAATGCAAGTGGAGATGACATATGTCATTTTCAGGCAAAAGCTCTGAGAGCCAGTGCATACTTTTCAATTTGCCCATAGAGTGGCTACTCCCTCAGTCTGAATCATGGAGTATAAATATTAATAGTGTGGCGTCAGAACCACAGTCAATCATTGAGACTGTGGGCAATAAATGGACCTTTGTTATTTGAAGCCACTTGGTTCAAGGGTTGCTTGATACTATAGTACAGCTTGGCCTATTCTGACTGATACCAGGTCTTACACTAGCCAGCATATTTAAATAGGGCCCTGTAGTCTTGGCTGATTACTTTCCAAGCCTGAAAGTGATCCAGAGATCATATCTGAACCTGCAGCTTTATGTTTCTTAGCTTTCAGTCCTCTAGTCACTTCTAAGAGATCCATGAAGGAAGGGTCATAGACCTTCACCATCTTTCATAGGATATAGGATGAGCAATTATCATTTAAAATAAACCCTCTTTGATCTTAGGGAAAAGTTCCCTCTAACACTCACTCCCTCTTTCACGTATCTGTTTCTCAGAGCCAAGCATTTTTTTTTTTTTTTTGACAGGCAGAGTGGATAGTGAGAGAGAGAGAGAGAGAGAGAGAGAGAGAAAGGTCTTCCTTTTTGCTGTTGGTTCACCCTCCAATGGCCGCCACAGCTGGCGCGCTGCAGCTGGCCCACTGCGCTGATCCGAAGGCAGGAGCCAGGTGCTTCTCCTGGTCTCCCATGGGGTGCAGGGCCCAAGCCGTTAGGCCATCCTCCACTGCATTCCCGGGCCACAGCAGAGAGCTGGCCTGGAAGAGGGGCAACCGGGAAAGAATCTGGCGCCCCAACCCGGACTAGAACCCAGTGTGCCGGCGCCGCTAGGTGGAGGATTAGCCTAGTGAGCTGCGGGGCCGGCCCAGAGCCTAGTTTTTACAATACGAATCTGGATGAGGAGTCTTTCTTATGAACCTGAAAATTATACCTTTAGCTGTTTAGTACACAAACCAGTAACAATTCTATTAGCAAGGAGCACTGAATTTGGAAACCAAAGTTTGGAACGCCTTTTTGAGTTTGAGAAAGAGGTGAGAATACCTCATATATACTCTTCACAGCAAGAGGAAGGGAACAAATAATAGACTAATATCTCAATAGATTATTCTGACATGTCACTGAGAAATCAAGATATTAAACTGAGGAATCTAGACTCATAATGGGAGACTCAAGTTGTCGCCTCTAAGAACTTAATATCAATCCTTTTAACCCAAGGTAATTCTGAGACTGGGCAGAGGAAAAGAGGAAATAACTAACATTTGGGGGTTCCTCCTATGTGCCAGATATTCACCGCATTTAACTCTCTAAGCAGTCCTATTTGGAAAGTGCTATCATTCTCTCAGTTAAGACACTAAGGTTCAGACAGGTTAAGTCATCAGCCTTAGATCACAGTAAGTGGCAGAGCTAAAATTCCAACCAGATGTCTTTGACTACAAAGATTTTACAGCTGGAGTCTTCTGTGTCTACCTAGTGCCAGTCACATCTAAATGAAGTTAAAAGAAACAAACTATTTGTGTAGCAGCATAAGATAAACAGGATGCAGAAATTAAGAAATGATCTTTTTTTATATGAATAAAATTTACCTTTTGAACATCGAAATATTTAACCTGTTATGAAAAGTCTCTATTAAGCTACCACTTGCCCAGGCACTATTTGTGTCATTTATTTGGGAAATCTTGTAAGACTGACCTTTAAGGTGGAAACAAAATCAATGCTATCATTTTTAAGACATCAGACATAATGGACAGTGATAGATTCCTTACAGCTGTAGTCCAGGAAACAGATCATGCCCCTTGCTGGTCATCAAATTTGTAGCTTCTGTCTGTGTCCATGTAGATTTTGCCTAAAGGGAAATTGAGAAGAGAATATTCACACAATTAAAAAATTTAAGCAGGGCATTTCTTTGCTAAGGCCAACATTTGATGAGTATACAGTTATAGTTTTATTCACAGTCCCTTTCCCCAGTCAAAGCTAGGTGGATTTTCCTATCCCTTATTATTCAGAGATTAACTCACTTACTCATGTGAGATGAAGCTCCATCGTCTTTAAAATTGAGAAAATAATACTTATCTTACATGACCCTTATGAGTATTATTCAGGGGATTCTTGGGCAAATTCTACCTTAGAAGTTTAAAACCTCCTGACCTCTCTCATGGATTTCTTAGTCTTCTATCTCTCAAGAAGGAGGTAGAAACACAAAATTGTGCCTTTTAACTCTTGCTGAATTAGTCCAACAAGATTCTGAGTGATCTTCTTAGATGAAAACCAAGAAAATTCCCACATGCAAAAGGCTGAAAGCAGTAAGGGTCATAGCCGGCCACTGTATAATATTGTTCAGAGTAGATCTCAAAAGAAAAATGCCATATTCCTTGCCTATTGATAGATTTTTTTATTATCCTGGATTTTCCATTTCTTCAGTTATCTTAACAGTGGACCCAGACGTCTGGCCCAGATCAAACTCCAAAGATCCCCTTTGCCTTGCTGCTCCCCACTAAGCACACCTGCAGTCTCTGAATGTCATAAAGAACTAAAGGAGAAGTCTGGAATTAAGTAAGAATATGGGGTTTTTGAAACCCAGGACTGGAGGGACAACACAATGGCACAGTATCTTATGTGTCACCACCTAATGGGAGGAAAGATAGTCCAGGCTTGGCGATTCCCTGGCCCTGGCCCTGACCTGGCAACAGGAGGTGGCCAGGTGTGTTCACCCCTCCCTCAAACTGAATGGGAGTCCATTGACAGCGTCAGCTGAGACACCACCCACACAGGGAACATTGCCAAAAATAAGCAGGAAGAAGAGGTGCCTTACAATCCTCTGACCCCGCTGACGGATATTGAGGTAGATGAGTTAGAACCAGCAAGAAAGAACACTTCTACAGCCAAGTGGCCCTAAGATTTCTTTTGCCCAACCAGGCCTGAAACGTGCCTCCTTCACCAAAAGGAACCCAGCAATTGTTCTCCTGGGCATTTATTCCAGAGAATTGAAAACTTACAAAGAGACTTCAAGAAATTTGTGGAAAATAGAATTAAGATATAAGTTCATTTCCGTTCAACAATTTTTTGAAATCCATGCGTAGTTTTTTTTTCATAGTGTACATTTCCTGCAAATTTTTTTAAGTGTTCTTGTATGTCCATACAAAAACCTATATAGAAATGTCAGTAGCAGCTCTAAATGTGATAGGCCAAGACTGGACTCAGTCTGGATATTCTTAAATAGGGATCTGTGTTGAATGTAAAAAGTCACTCCCAAAAGATTATGTTATATGATTCCATTCCTGAAATATTTTAGAAATGGTGAGCAGATTAGGGTCTTGGGATGAAAGGGAAGCAGACATGTCATAAAATGGGAACAATGAGGTATCCTTGTGTTGATGAAACTGTTCTTGGTCTTGACTGTGATTGTGAATATACAAACCTATACATACAATACAATTATGTAGAACTAAACACACACACACACAAAGTGTTACAAGCAAACCTGGAAAAATCTGAATAAAATTGGTGGATTGTATCAATATCAATATCCTGGTTGTGATATTATACTATAATTTTATAAAATGTTACCTTTGGGAGAAACTGGATAAAGTGTACATGGGATCCCTCTGTTATTTCTTACAAATATCTATGAATCCACAATTATCTCAATAAAATTTTAATTTAAAAAAGTATGCCTAGCAAGGATGGGGAAAAATGACATAGTTTAGCAAGGCAAACTTCATGGTACATAATTGATGATCAATAACTATTAATTTATTTTTATTTTCACACCCTTTCCAGTCTTTCTGTTGCATACATATATACATCTTACACACACACACACACACACACACACAGTTTTTTTCCCTACCCCAAATCATGGAAGTTTATCAAATACTCCTTTCCCCAGCATTTTGTAAAACCAGTTCCCACATTCTTGCATACAGGTATAACCCTAAGGTTAATACCCTCACATTGCATTGACTTCCATTCTCTTCTAAGACTCCTTTTACAGTCAGCTTGAAGGTAGTATAGACATAAAGTTGTGGGCAGCAGGTGTCTTGCTCAAATAACGCTGGAAATCACTAAGGAACTCATAGCCAATGGAAGAAAAAGAACTACCTTATGAATTAGA